ACTAGTTCCTAAAGCCTTATTGAGTCCACTCTATAAATGAGAACTATTGGAGAAAAGAAAAACATTTGTTGATATTCAAAAAGTATGTTAGAAAAATATCATGTTAATATTTCCATATCCATTTTGGGCTGTGCACATGATGTGCGTGTATAGACAGAAAATGTGCCTCCACCGTGATCCTAACAGCCTTCAAGTAGTTATAATTAATAATTCCACAGATGAGTGTGCACAGAACACTCTTGCTTATAGCTGAAGGAGAAGTAGAGCCAACCCTGGGCTCTCAGTTTGGGGGGAAATAGAAGTCAAGTCACAATGAGGCAGAAGAAAAGTAAGTTGTGATCAGAAAGTAGGATATCGAGTTTTAAGATTTTAGAAGGGGTGATGACAAAGCTTCAGCTGTGACCAAGAAAGTGAGTGGCAGCTGCTGTCAACAAAGTAGAGGCTAAGCTACCTTCTCTCTGTCAACCAATAGATGAAGAGGAATAGTACTTGAAGTGCAGAAAAGAAAATCCTTCCAGACCCTAAATACCTAAGATCAGGAGTTCCAATTAATGATGCCTCCTCTCTCCAGTTCCTAATTCACAGAGAATGGTTAATAATAACAGTAATAGTCATTCAGCACTTCCTACATGTCAGCGCTGTTCTAAGCACCTTGCACATGACTTTTGTGACAAGAGGCACTATTAGTCCCATTTCACAGATGAGGAGACAGACATGGGGTAAGCAATTTGTCCAATATGGGTTATAAATGCTGGGGGAGAATTTGTAGACTGGATTAGAGTGAGAAAATATTTTATGGAAAGTTAAGTCCAGGAGGAGGTCTGCCCGTCCGGGTACACTGTACATCAGCAGATGTCGGGCTTTGTGTGGAGACCTGGTGAGAGATGAGTCTGAAATGATGCACTCGGGCCATATTGAAGACTCCTGAACAGTGCTCAGAGTTGGAACCTGATTTGGGAGGGAGGAAGGACGAAGAGACATAATCAGCACTGTATCTTGAGATGATTAACTTTCGAACATGAACAGATTGGAGAGAGGCTGGAATGGAAGGGATTATATTAGGGTCTTTTCGGTCCTGATTATGTGACAGATAATGAGTGTATGAACGGGGGGGGGTGTCAGTTGAAAGTTAAAGAAGAGACGGGTTTGATAAATGTTGCAAAAGTGAAATGTAAAGTTTTGCTAACTGGGTGGATGAAGAGTGGGGGTGGGGTGGGGGCAGAATCTAAATAGAATCCAAGGTGTCGAGTTCAAGTCACTGAACTGTGGGCAGAAATTCAGAAGATTCACTTTGTGGGGTAAGAGGGACAGCACGAGCAGGTGGATTCTGAAATCTGTTATCTGTTGTGTGAGCGGGCCATCAAGGTGGGAGACCTCAGCAGGAAATTGGAAACAAATTTGGAACTTAAAAGAGTTTGAGCTTGAAATGAAGCTTTTGGTGTCATCCACACAAAGGCACTGTGATAAACCTAGGAAGCAGATGAAACCCCTGGAGGGGGAAAGGAAGTAAATAGAGAACAGATCCTTGGGAAATATTTAAATTTGGGGACAAGGAAGAAGAGAAGTCAGCAAAGGAAAAAGTGCAAGAGTGGTTAACAGATAGGAATGTCTAGAAGTATGCATCACAGAACATAAGGGGATGGAAGCTTCCAGAAAAAAGCTAGGGGTGAGTGAAGATGCGTGAAGGGGTGAGTGAAGAAGGTACTGCCAGGTGGTAAAGCAAAAATAAGGAAGCAGCAAAAATACTTTCCATGGCAGAACTTACAGCAGGAGGAGCTCCTAAATTTCTTTGAACCTTGTTATAAAACTGACAGGCAGGAGCAGCTCCTAGAGCTGCCCTCCCTAACTCCCATGCAGTAGTTCTCATAGAAATAAGGTAAGGGGTCGTTAACAGAGGCTCTTCCTCCTCTTCTGGTGGAATGCATGAGTTTAATGCATGCATCCCAGGCCAGAGGGGGAGAGGTAGTTCTATCAACAGTCTTATAAAGTAAAATAACTTCCATCAACTCTAGGGAAAAGAAGAAATTTTGCTAATGAATTTGGGCTGTAAAGCATTAGGATTTTCTTTGTATATGTACTATTAGCAGATTGCATAATTTGTAATTATTCTATGTGCAGGAGAGGGGAGGGCATTTTTATTCCATGTATTGAAAAAGAGATAGTTAAATGCACTCAGGCCTGAATGTGACTTCACTCACTCTGTATGAGGCAAAAGCTTCCCAGAGGAGAAAAAAACAAGTGGAAAAGCAAAAATACTGATGGTGGTTAATGCGTGACAGCAGTTTTGACTGCTGTAGGTAGGCCTGGGTAGGACAATGCCATAAAACATTTTGCAAACAATCGGCTCCATTGTCCTGTCCTCTCCTGTCCAGGGGTGGCACTGGACATAGGACGTCAGAAAGGAAAAGAGGAAATGGAGAGGGGAACAAAGAGACAGAAACTGAGTGTTCCTTGGGAATATACACAGCCATCCCTCTTCTGAGGGATGGCTGGGCACCACGCATGTCCCTGTGTATCCAGAAATGGTCTCTGGGGCCCCATTGCTGTCACATTGCTGCACAACCCTGGGGCACAGAGAAGAGCGTTGGAGGTTGTTAGCACATCTCCCTCCGGAGATGAGACTGCGCTTGGCACCAGCAAGAGAATACCAGAGGGAATTTGTCTCTTCTCCGTGCCTGGGTAATGACTATTCCCCGAGACTCTCAGGGAAGAATTAAGTTCAGTGTGGGCCTCGCACTGTATCACACACTCCATCCTGAACAGCTGGGCTGTTCAGTATAATTTAAAAAGAAGGGAGAACTGGCTGTTCACCATCAATGTGTAATGTATTCATAATAAATCTCTCAATGAGGAGGTAAAAAGATTTCCCATTTCTGTACAGGCCAAAGGAAGCAGAGCATTAGGCAAGTATCCTGTGAGTCTCATTAACAGAGACAACCAATACAGAAAATCCAGGGGGATTTGCTCCACATTTCTATTATTAATGGCAATTGTTTTTTTTTTTTTTTTACCTGAAATATGCTAGTAATTTTCTCGCTTGCAAAATTGACTTTGCCTAAGGATTAATAAACATGCTTTTTCTTAATAGTTAATGAGTATCCTCCCTTTTCTAGAGGCTACATACAAGTAAAACATGGCTGGTCGCCTCCTGTTTTTCTTCTTTTGCTCTATTTCTGAGAAGATTGATTTATTTTAAAGAACATGGAAATAATATGTATTTAAAATTAAGTCAAAAGGGGGCGCCTGGGTGGCTCAGTGGTTAAAGCCTCTGCCTTCGGCTCAGGTCATGATCTCAGGGTCCTGGGATTGAGTCCCGCATCGGGCTCTCTGCTCAGCAGGGAGCCTGCCTCCTCCTCTCCCTCTCTGCCTGCCTCTCTGCCTACTTGTGATCTGTCTGTCAAATAAATTTAAAAAAAAATCTTTAAAATTAAGTCAAAAGAATAATTGATAACAGCCAGCTAGTAGGAATTAAAAAATTTGTTTCTAAAATGGGAAGTATTTAAGAACGGAGCTGGTTGGGTCGGAAGGAGGGCAGTTTCCACCTCAATTTACGCAGAATCCCCAGTGTCAGAGCCAGTCGTAGAGCTAAGCAGGTAATAAGGGCTGTCGCTACACAGAAACCAATGACCAATGAATGATATTTGTTAAAGATCATTTTCACCTTGAGTTACTACTACTGAAGTGTTTCCTCATCATAGTTAGAACTGTGTCTCTCATGGTCTCCTAAACTTTATAACAATAAGATCACCTCAGTGCCTGGGAGGATAACTACCCTCTTTTCTTTCAGGCAGAGGAAAAGAACCCATATTTGACCATTTAAAGGCAGATTTGGCTTATTAAGATATGTGTCCAAAAAGAAGGCCATCTAAGTAAGCTGTGTTGAGCTCTTAAAAATGATGACCTGATTTGTCAAGAATTCATTCCTACTGACTCAGGTTTTCACAATAGTAAAATAGTGTATGTACAATAGCATAAAAAATAGTATACGTAATAGCAGTTGATTTCTAAAAATCTGCCTTTCCTAGAATGTAAACGCCTATCCCAGAATTACTGAGCTAGATACGGGGTTCTCCTCTTTGCTTCACGGACCGCACGAATAAAGCAGATGTGCCAGCCTGAAGCCTTCTTCCGTAAGAGACACTTAGGCAGGGGCGCCTGGGTGGCTCAGTGGGTTAAAGCCTCTGCCTTCGGCTCGGGTCATGATCTCAGGGTCGTGGGATCGAGCTCCACATCAGGCTCTCTGCTCGGCAGGGAGCCTGCTTCCCGCCCCCACCCTCTGCCTGCCTCTCTGCCTACTTGTGATCTCTGTCACATAAATAAATAAAAAAAAATAAAAAAAAAAGAGACACTTAGGCAACCTCCAGTTTGTCTTACTATGAATATTCTGTAGCAAACATCTTTGTTTTCCCAACATTAATTTGTTTCCCCAGAAGAGCGTTCCTGAAATGAAATTACTAGATCAAGTGGTATGAATATTTTAAAGCTCCTCTTTCCAAACCCGTTTCTTTCTTTCTTTCTTTCTTTTTTTTTTAAGATTTTATTCATCTATTGGACAGAGAGAGAGATTACAAGTAGGCAGAGAGGCAGGCAGAGAGAGAGGAGGAAGCAGGCTCCCCGCCGAGCAGAGAGCCCGACGTGGGGCTCGATCCCAGCACCCTGGGACCATGACCTGAGCCGAAGGCAGAGGCTTAACCCACTGAGCCACCCAGGCGCCCCCAAACCCGTTTCTAAGGAGCTTTCCAAAAGGGCATTTAGTAATTCACCTCACGCTAGTCGTCTGTGAGAATTAGAGCCAGTACTTCAGGCCTACCAAGCTGCTAATAAGACTACCTTACTTTAATTTGTGCTTCTTTCTAGTCTAGCAAGCTTGAAAATTTATGCAAGTATTTGCTGACATTTTTGTGTGTGTTTGCTAGTTTTTTGCCGCTTCCTGATGGGTGGGTTTATTTTTCCCAGCTCTGGTCTCACCTGGTTCCCCACCTTTGTTGCTCTCCACACAGGCTCCCATGACTCGTTCAGCTACTGGGTCGATGAGAAGTCCCCGGTGGGGCCTGACCAAACCGCAGCCATCAAACGCTTGGCCAGGATCTCCTTGGTGAAGAAGCTCATGAAGAAGTGGTCCGTGACGCAGAACCTGACCTTCCGAGAGCAGCTGGAAGCTGGGATCCGCTACTTCGACCTGCGCGTGTCTTCCAAACCCGGGGATGCCGACCAGGAGATCTACTTCATTCACGGACTTTTTGGCATCAAGGTCTGGGACGGGCTGATGGAGATTGACTCATTTCTTACCCAGCACCCCCAGGAGATTGTCTTTCTGGATTTCAACCACTTCTACGCCATGGATGAGGCCCACCACAAGCGCCTGGTTCTCCGAATCCAGGAGGCCTTTGGAAACAAGCTGTGCTCCACCTGCAGTGTGGAGAGCATGACGCTGCGAGCCCTGTGGGAGAAGAAGTGCCAGGTGAGAGGAGACAGACCCGCTTGCAAGGGCAACAAGGCTCTTTCTGCCTTTTTAGCTGGAAAAGGCAGCTCACCCCAGGGCGCTTAGGCTAGAAGGCAAAACAGATACTCCCTGGGTCCTGGACTCTCGGATAGCTTCAGACTCAGATATACCCACTAGTTCCTGGGCACCCGTGAACTGGGATTAACACCTGCCAGACAGTTACGATTGATTGCGCAGCGATTGGGCAGCCTGTTGGAAGTATCTGAGTTAGAGTGGCCTGGCCAGAACCAGCCCAGGGCAGCTTCATGAAATTGGACCCCCTGGTGATTGCCTTTTTTTTTTTTTTTTTTTTTTTTTTTTTCCTTCTTTTCTCCCCTGGAATCCCTTTTCAGGCTCCTAGTTCCCCCCCTGAGGGCTGGGGAGTCCATCCAGCCTTTAACTCACTGTCAGATAATCCCTACATTAGCTGACAAAAGCTAGCTGACATAAGCATGGGAGTGATTCATCTCAGAGCTGTTAATATTTGAAAAGGCTATTTTAACAGATTTGGGGGCCTGGCTTGAGAGACTGAAGGAAGAGCCCAACAAAGGGATCCAGGCCTGAGAGCTGTTCCAGGTTCCTTAAGCCTGGAAGAAACCCCAAAGCGAGGCCTTGAGGGGCATACTCAGGAAAAGGAATGTGGGCCTCAGATACATGCACTGGGATCCCACAGGATGAGACACTGGGAGAGAGGGGAGCTTTGAGAAAGGTCAGCCTCCAGTTTAGATGCTCTTTAACAGAAGAAAGCAAGCAAGTCCCTTTCTTTCATAGTGGTTTGCTTACTCACAGGTGCCTTAACCAACGCATCTTAAAGAGGCAGCTATTTTTGAACTTGGGGAAGACCTTTCAATAAAAATCAATTAAAGATTATTCACTTGCAAATATTCATGGAACACCAGGTGTGTGCTGAGCACCAGTCCAGGCACTTGGGATAAATTAGTAAATAAAACAAAGATCCTTGCCTTCGTGGAGCTTTCATTCAGGTGTAAGAAAGAGATTGTAGATAATTGCCATAATAAATACATTACATAAAATGCTAAAAGTGATGTGAGTGATGAAAACAGAAAGGAAGGGGGTCAGAGATCATGGACGATGGGGTGGGAACTCAGGCTTTCACTCTGCGCGAGGAAGATTCTGTACCTGGTGCTGTGTCCTGAATTACATTGTAAGGGGTCTCTGTGGCGGGTAGGAAGACAGCGAGGGTAGGAGGGCAGGGAAAGGAGGAGAACCAGTGAGGAGCACTAGCGGGGAAAGTGATCAGATTTAGAAACTATCAGAAGGTAGAGCCAGCAGGGTTTTCCAATGGATGGGATTCGGGGCACAAAAGAAATGGGCTTCACGGATGACTCCCAGGTTTGGCCTGAGGAACTGGAAACCCCGGGTGGTTTTGCGCGCCTCTGAAAGGGCTAAAACCTTTGACGCCACAGAAGCTAATGAGTTAGATCTCAGGATCTATTAAAACTTACCTAAGCCACTTTTCCTCACTAAAACTTTGTAATGATGTTTGGCCAAATATTTATCACACCTCTGCTCCCAATCTGGCTAGATATCTTTTCAGACTCACAAGTCTAATTTGGAGATTTTTTTTTTTTTCTCAGTGGAGTCTCTTACAATATGAGATAATAGGAATGACAAGGTCACCTTGATAGCTAACCTTTATTGAGCCTTTATACTGTGTTAGGTACATGGATTAGCACATTGAATCCTCTCCACAACACTGAGATAGGTGTTTTGTTACCCTCATTTTACGGAGAAGTAAACTGAGGCATAGAGAGACTAAGCAACTTGCCCGAGAGAACGTTCCTAGTGAGTGGCAGGAGCCGAGGTAGAGTCATTGGCTCTTTGCTCCCCACAGCTCCTGATGCTATCCCAGGGCCTTACCCTTATCTTGGTGGTTTTCACAACTAGGAGCATAGATCATTAAAATAAAAACCCCTTCTTTTTATTCATGAGCCCGTATTATCAAAGGGTCTCAGAGGTTTCACAGAATGATAAAGGGCTGTAGATCTGAAGAAGGGCTTTTGAGTGTGGGATTCAGGTAAGGTAAAATCTCAGTATAGCTAAGTTTGTCAATCAGATATCTGTTAGAAATACAGCTTTATAATTTTACGCACAGATAGTGTCCTGGATGGACTGCCATATTGCACACCAAATTGTTTGGAAGTCTGCAGGAGTAACAGGTGTCTTCAGGAATAATGATGAGGGGGGACAGTGAATTTCTCGCAGCAGAGTGGTGAGCCATCCTTGCTTTTAAGTATGGACTAATCTGTGTCTTCCAACTACAGCTACTCCAAAAATTATGAAGGAGAGACTCTGTGATGACCTGTCAGAAAAAGGGAGAGTGTCATCCATTTGAATTCTAGGATCTCCCTGCTCTTCTTGCTTTTCCCAAGTTTGCCCTGCCATGTCTCTTCTTAAAAGCTAAATGGAGACCTCACAGCCATCGGTGATCTACCCCCTGCTGGAGGCAGGGCCCTACTGGTGGTTAAACTTTAAACCTTCATTATGTAAAGAGCTGCCATGCATGGGAACCCCCTGATCATTTTATCACTACAGTTTCATAGCAAGAAGTATACTACCATTCAGTCAAATTTCATTTACTATACGTAACAATGACATCACAGCTCACTAATAGGTGTACATCATGGCTATGGGTTTTGAGGTACAATGAATTAGAATACTTAATCTACGGTTTGGCAATATTTTGAATCTTAATGAAAAGGTAAGAGTCCTTAACACTCATAAAAAACAACCAATACACAGTTGCAAAGTAAAACTGCCTCAGATGTACTGTATAATGAAGGGGGTTTGTAAGCAATCAGTTGAAAAATAGTACCTAGCATAGATCTCTAGTCCAGGAGCCTCCAGGAAAGGACCCATCAGAATAAGAGTAAGTCAGTCAAGGAATAATTTTCAAAAGAAAGTAGATTTCAAATCTGAGTCTCCGGAGAAGAACTGAACATCAGTTGCTGAGCTGGGTGGGGGAGAGTGTTTCAGAGAAAAAGATGGCAGAGCAAGGCAGGGAGGCAGATGCAAAACACAGGCCCTAGGGCAGGAGTCACTGCCCCGACCCTTGGAAGGGGTTTGCTGGACCGAGGTCCTCGTGTAAACAGAACTCCTCCCTCTAACCCTGCGGTCAGATTGCTCAGGCGCTCCAGGAAAGGCCTAGAGCCCCTTTTCTACAGCTTGTCCTATTTGCACCTTCTCTAAGGGAGAGTAGAGAGAACAGCCGTAACAACACTCAGGGGCCGGGCAGCTCTGAAAATGGCCCAACAGGGAAGGATCTCACTGCCACCGTCCATGTCACAGGACAGCTTACCTCCCTTTCTGAGGCAGGAGACCCCAGCCTCCCAGCCTGCCAATTACACCAAGCAGCAGGGAATCCTCCCAATCTCCCCGACAATCTGCTTACCATGAGCCTGTGATTAACCTCATTAACACATGTGTTTACCACAGGCATCATTAGCAGTCAGTCAGACGTTACTCAACAGACGTTAAAAACAACAACTATTAGCCTGTTGGGTGCACCCAGCCTGATGCGCCCTTGCTCTGGGTCCACAGGAGCAGTTAGTCACCTTGGTCATGAGCTCAACACACTGGAAACCCGATACACATTCAGAACCCTGCTTCTCAGGTGCCTGGGGGATTATGCTCTGGGGCCAGCTATCCGACGATGGCAGTCCGGGGGAGTGTAAACATGCTGGACATTCCTCCAGGAAGAGAGTACTGGTGCTTGGGAGCAGGGAAAAATAGATGACTTCTAGAAACCTAAGCAGCAGAGCTCTGAATTGGGACAATGAAAATAGCAATTCCCCGTCCCTCAGCTGCCTCCCAGAAACTAATTAATGCTGTGGATCTGGCTTGCTAATTATTTTCAAAATCGCCACTGGTCCCGAGGGGTCCCACTAAAGACCCACCACCTCCTGGAAGTCTGTCTTTCCTGGAATACCGCCTTCCCACCCCCTCCTGGGAAGGGTTATGTCGTTCAGTCGGCTCCCCTTATTGAAGCTCAGGGTAGTCCCAGATTAGTGCAAGGTGTTGGTCTCAACCCTGGGAGCGTCAATTTCATGAGCCTAGGAGTCCTCCCTTGCAGACAGCACTGGCCACAGGGCCCTCCATCCGGGGCTCAGAGCCCCAAGGGGAGGGGCATGGGCAGGATTTAAGCAGTCTGTGGATTTGGATAGGAAAAATCTTCATTCTTCTTCCTTCTCACCTCTAACTGAAAATTCATGTACCCATTGATGATGAGCGCAGACACTCAGCCACAACAGTATCAGCCCTACCCGTGATTTTGTCCCCATAGAAATCACAGGTATTTCCGTATCACATTTCAGTTATTTGAAATATCATTTTTACCCATCATTAACTCAAAATGATGGGACTTAGTAGACTTACAACAAAGTACTTTTATTTAATGTATTATTGTGAAGCATGTACACTAATTTATTACAAATTGATAATCTACTGATAGCTGTATTTTGATCTCATTGATTTCCTTTGTAATCCTATTTTATCTTATACATTCATTTAAAATGTGATCTGAGAAGGGGCTCAGGATTTTATCATACTTCCAGAGGTGTTTGTGACAAAAACAAAGCATCTTCAAAGTCAGACATACAGAAGTGCTAAAATCTTTGCTTATTGGTTTCTCTCTCTCTCTCTCTATATATATATACACATACAATTCTTGAATTTCTACATGCTTATATTTGTTTGCCTTTATTCCTACAATCAGGGCAAAGCCAAGGAACTGACATTCAGCTTATTCATGAATTGTTCTCCTTTTTCTGTTTTGAATGTTTCAGGTTCTTATTTTCTATCACTGTCCCTTCTACAAGCAATACCCCTTCCTGTGGCCCGGAAAGAAGATCCCAGCGCCCTGGGCGAACACCACAAGTGTGCGCAAACTCATCCTCTTCTTGGAGACCACTCTGAGTGAGCGGGCCCCGTGCGGCTCCTTCCACGTCTCTCAAGCCATTCTCACCCCCAGAGTGAAGACCATCGCCCGAGGCCTGGTTGGTGGCCTCAAGAACACTCTGGTTCATAGGTAAGAACTTGCTTCTCCCCCACAAGTAAGGTTTGTTGTTGTTGTTGTTGAAGATTTTTATTTATTTGTCGGAGAGAGAGAGAGAGAGCGCGCACACAAGCAGGGGGAGCAGCAGACAGAGGGAGAGCAGGCTCCCTGCTGAGCAGGGAGCCCAACATGGGCCTCGATCCCAGCACCCTGGGATCACGACCTGAGCGAAAGGCAGATACTTAACAAAATGAGCCAAACAGGCATCCCTGCTTTTTGTTTTTTGTTTTTTGTTTTTTGTTTTAATAAAACTTGTCTTGATTCCCTTCTGAATAAAGAGCAATAAAATCATATAGCTTGAAGATTTTAGAATAACAACAAAACAAAAAACTAAAAAACTTATATTTGAAAAAGCTGTGCATCGGGGCCAGTTTGCATTAAACGTGGCCAAAGGGTTTGTAATTACTTTGTTAAAATATCTAGTGGACCATAAATACTCGCCCAGTGTTGGTGCTAGGGCAAAGCACTTTAAGCCAACAGCAGTGTGTTCATTTCTGCTGTGTGATTACATCACATACTTGTCCCCCACCCTTCGCAGCTGGCCCTAGTACTCACTCATTTAAAATCATTAGAGGAGAATGAGGCTGTGCTAGGTGCTAGGGATTCAGAGGTGGCCTGCAAAGGTTTGTTCCTTCCATAGGGACAGTGAGTCCTGAGAAGCAGCGTCAGGATGGTCCCTACAGCTCCATCATTTCAGGTCCTTCCCAGAGCGGAATGGATTCTGACTGCACCATTAGGCAGAAGGTCCAGATGTGTTATATTAGATGATCTTTATCCCGGACAGCAGAGATGACAGGTGTCATCAAGAAAAAGCTTGGCTTTTATATCTGTACATATATGTGTGTGTGCACCTGTGGATTTGGATAAAGGGAACATTATAAATATATTTGGAGAATGGGGCATCCTCCCAATCCAAGCGGAGGAAGCGAATATGTTTGGGTAACAAGGATATTTACAGGACCCACTTTGGTTCCTGAGTTCCAGATGGAAAGCACCAGCGTTTAGGTAGTGAAAGATTCTTCCAAAAACTTTTCTGTGGCTGTTTGGTTCTGAGTTTGGATAGCATCACTCCAGATAACAGGAGTTCATCAGGCGAGAGGTCAGACAGCAAGAAGAACCTGAACTTTTGTTTCCTGGTGAAAACTCCTGCTTATCTTGGCTGTAAACAAAACCAGAGTCCCTTACTATGTGGCTCCGCTAAGTTCTGACTGAATTACTCATGCTGAACATGGAAAAGAGAATGTCATAATCCAATGCTGTATCTCTGAAAGATCCAGAATGACAAACTTCCCTGTTTTATATGTTCATGTAACACACCATTGTCCTCCTGCGTTTGGTAAATTTGTAGGCTAATATTACTCATTCATTCAACATAAAAGATGGAGTACTTAGGAGAAGCTAGAGCTAAAGATGAAAGGGAAACAATATAGTCTTTGTCCTCATGGAACTTAAGTCACTCAGGAAAAATAAACATGTAAATTTCTATAAAGCAATCTGAAAATAACATAATAAAGTCTGTGCAGAGAGTTGTACTGATAAGGGACAGACGTATTTAAAAATAAGGACAAGTTATATCTGTGTACTGTATTTAGAATATAAATTATCCTCCTGCAGATGATTTCATTTGATTCTTAAATTAAGCCAGCCTCCGGGTCTAGAGCACATTACTGTCCCCATTTCAAACACTCCTTTTAAAAAAAATTATTTATTTATTTGTCAGAGAGAGAGAGAGCACAAGCAGGGGGAGCAGCAGGCGGAAAGAGAAGCAGGCTCCCAACTGAGCAGGGAGCCCGATGCAGGACTCAGTTCCAGGACCCTAGGATCATGACTTGAGCTGAATACAGACACTAACGACTGAGCCACCGCGGTGTCCCTACTGTGCCCATTTCAGATGGAACTCAGTAAGGCTAAGTGACCCAGACCCACATAGCTGGTAAGGGTCAATAATATGCCTGACCCTAGACTTCTGACTGTTGTGCTGCTGCCCTTTCCCATACTCACCGCTCAACTTGAATATAGCGTATTTCAACACTCTACTCCTTTCTGCTCCACTGCCCTGTAATTGTCCTCCTGTTCCCAGAATCTGGGCAGCTCTTCCTAGTTACAGCTGTGAACCCACAAAGTCACCGTGCTTTTCAGACCTGTAAATTCCTAGAACTTCCATCTGGCTGCAGAGGAAGCACCAAGCTCTTTCACTTAGTGATAATGTGGCGGCAAGTGGCCAAAGCCAAGGGATCCTAGCATGGCAGAGCCTTCCCTGGTGGCCAGCAGATGTCTCAAGACTGGAAAAATCCTTGGGCCTCTCCACTCTGCTGCTCTCAAGAATATTAGAGGGAGGCAGCAGGTATTCCTAGGCCTCCACATCCACTGGAGGGAGAAACGAAGTCAAGAGTTCATTCCTAAGCATCAGCAGGACGTGTGGCTCTCGTTTCCTCTGGGCAATTGAACAAGCGTGGGAGAGAAGCATTTCTAACACCCAAGAGCTCTGTCCTAACTGAGGTACGGGGGGTGCTGTCAGACTGGCTCCTGAGCACTGGTTATCCGCTTAACCAAGAGGAAAAAAAGACCACATGGGTATATTTTCCTACAATTGTAGAGGTGATTTTTTTTTTCCCCCAGCAGGAAGTTAACCTAACTCTTAAGTGAAACTTTGGACCTAAGATCTTGTTTGCTTTGATTCATCACCCTCAAACAAAGCCATGAAAAATAGAGCCATTCTGACTGAATTTTTATGGTAGATTTTCCCTAGATTCTTAGAAACCTTGCACTCTCACTGGAACTAAATGAAAGCAAGATTTGCCAAAGCTCCAGGACAGAGCCGCCATAGAGTCATGACTGAAGTCAGAAGCCCGAGATTGAAGCCTGACCTGGTCCCTGTTGTGGGCTGAATTATGTTCCCTGGAAATTCCTATGTTGAAGCCCTAGGCCCCAAAATCTCAGGATGTGACCACTGGAGATTGGGTCTTTAAAGAGGTGATTAAGTTAAAATGAGGCCATTGGGGGGTCCTAATCCAGTCTGACTGGTGTCCTTATAAAAGGAGGAAATTTGGACACACAAAGAGACCCCAGGAGTGTGTGTGTTCAGTAAAAAGGTGACGTGAGGACACAGCAAAAAGGCAGCCATCTACAAGCCAAGGAGAGAAACCTCAGAAGAACCCAAACCTGCCAACATCTGGATCTCAGACTCCCAGTCTCAGAACTGTGAGAAAATACATTTTTGTTGTTGAAGCCACCCAGTCTGGCATTTTCTGTGGCAGCCCTAGCACACCAGTGTAGTCTCTTTTCTTTTTTTTTTTTTAAAGATTTTATTTATTCATTTGGCAGACAGAGATCACAAGTAGGCAGAGAGAGAGGAAGGGATGCAGGCTCCCTGCTGAGCAGAGCCTGATGCAGGGCTCAATCCCAGGACCCTGAGATGACCTGAACCGAAGGCAGAGGCTTAACCCACTAAACCACCCAGGTGCCCCTACCAGTGTAGTCTCTTAACAACAGGCTGGCCTTCGACAAATTTCCTGAGTTCTCTGAGCTGTCTCTTTCCCCCCAGCTTAGAAGGTTAATACTACTTCACGAAACTGCAGAGTCTGAGCACAAATGCCTACCACAGTGACTGGCACAAAGTAGGCCTGCCATCTCTATGTGAAAGAAACCCAGAAACACCGAGGCTCAGCCTTCTTCTCAGTGGGCTTCAAAGGCAAAGGGAAGTTTCTACCGCACCGCTCTGCTCATGGCACCTGGTGCTTCACAGGCCTGTTGAGCCCTCTGCCGGATCTCTCCTTGCTAAAGACCAGGAGTTAAGAAAACAAAGCGGCTTCTCCTCACAGGGAGTTCTACATTTTCCTGTCTTTGTACGTAATCCCGGTTATTTGATCCTTGCCTTGAGGAAGTTGATACCTGCAACCCGAAGCTGACATGGAGCTCTTTGTCACTGGAGACCAAAGGAGGATGCCTTTCCCACCTTACGCCGCTCAGGTTCCAGGGATCTCCTGTGGTTTGGCTCAGGTTGGGGTCCCCTGGAGTTGCTACCAAGCCTTAAATGCTCATTTCCCCATGATGACCAGAAGATGGCGCCAGCATTTCATATCTAAACACTGACTAGGGTTTTTTTTTTTCTTTTCCGTTTTCTTTTCTTTCTTTCTTTATTATTATTATTATTATTTTAAGTAAGCTCTACACCCAATGTGGGGCTTGCACCCTGAGATCAAGGGTCACATGGTCTACTGACTGAATCAACCAGGCGCCCCTGGCTTGTGGATTTTTATTATTATTATTATTATTATTATATTGGTGTAAATGAAGCTCAAATCTCAGGTTCCCACTGTTTCCAACAAATGTTAGGACTGCTAAGGGTGCTTTATTCAAGTAACAATGACAAACAATCCACACTTTCTGCTCTTAAAAAAAAAAATGGGAAAGGCTCGCTGGCATATAAAAAACCAACGCCACCTTTAATGTAATGTGCTTCCTAGACACAGTAGCATTTTCAGGGGAGATCAAGAACTATGGTTAAGGGCCAATAAACAACCAAAACAAAAACAAAAACAAAAAACCTGAGATAATTTTGCATCACCACCCCCAGTGTACCAGGTCACTGCCTTCTAAGGGAGGCTGAACTGGGTAATGGACATTAAGGAGGGCACATGATGTAATGAGCACTGGGCATATGGAAGACTGATGAATCACCTAACTCCATCTCTGAAACCAGTGATATATTTTATATTAATTACTTGATTTTAAATTTAAAAAAAATACCCCACCCCCCAAAACAATGACAAATTTGGAGGCAAAAGATTTCAAATACTCTGTTGTCCAACACAATCCAAAAGATCCCTTGTTTTGCTCTTGAACAACCTAGAAAAACTGAACTCTGTTTTACATCCCCAAATAAGAGCGGTATCTCCTGGAAGTATCAGTGCCCAAAGCTTGCAACCTACACCAACTCATACTCCTGTTCCATCAGTCCCAACCCTGAAGCT